CGGCCGGTGCCATGAGGCGCGGCCCCGGCGGCGGGCTCGGGCCGGGCCGGTGAATGGCGCCCAAGGGGCGGCCGGGCGGCCGGCCGCACTGGGTGCGCCGCGCGGGCGAGGGGCCTGCCGGGCCTGGGCCACGAGTGCGTACATACGTGTGCAGGGGCATGCCCCCGGCCCAATCTAGTGCCTGGGCTGGGCTGGGCGGGGCGGGCCGTGACTCCTCTTCTCGGCGCCGGGCCCTCGCGCCGCCAGCGTGCGACGGCCAGCCGCTTCCCGTGAAGAGGCCGGCTTTGTGCTGCCTGGGGGAGGGGGCAGTGGCCGCGGCCGTTCCCCCGCGGTGGGCTGCTGAAACAGCACCGTAGAGGCCCCCCTCCGCCCCCCCCCCCCCCCCCCCCCCGGCACTCGGGCCGGATTCGCCCCGTGCCTCGGCGCATCACTTGAATGCCGGCGGGCGCCGGGGGCGGGACGGCGGGACTCCCAGCGACGCCGGGGGGGCCTGGGGCTGTTTTTTTCGTCGTCGGACGCGGCCCGCCGGGAATGGCCAGTGTTTTCTTTTTCCGGGCCCCCTCCCCACCGATCCCAGCCAGGGGAGGCTGCTCGCTCGGCCTCCCCCGCCGTCGGCCGGAGGAACCTCACGGCGCTGGGGCAACGGTTGTCCTTGCACCGGCCCCCCCCCCTCCCCCCGTGCGGGTGCGCGTGCGGCGTGTGTTATTGTTTGGCCCGGGGGCGGGGGCGGGCTCCTCGCACGCGGGAACATGGCGCGCGCCGGGCCGACGCGTGAGACCCGGGAGCCAGGCCCTCCGCGCGCGCGTGCACCCGGCCTCCGGTGTGCGCCGGGACGGGGTAGATCCCGGCCCCCGCCTGGGCGGCGCGGAGGGGAGGGACGGCGGCAGTGCGCCGGGAGAAAAGGCCGCCGTGGCCCGGCCCCATCGCCCTGGCCGGGACGGCACCGCCCCATTGCTCCCCCCTTCCCCTCTCCCTCTTTTGCCCATCTCCTCTCCCCCACCGAGCGCGTCCTCTCCCCGCCGCTTGCCCAGATGCTGCGCAAGGTCCTCCAGACGCTCTGCGTCGTTGCCATCGCCCTCGGGGCGATGGCTCTCGCCCACGATTTCCACGATGTCCTGAATGGCGGTGCGTCAGTGCACCATTCCTGCCCCATAACCCTCCCGGATCTTGCATGTCCTCGTGCCGGGCCACTGACACGCTTGCCCCTCGGCCGTTCTCTTTTCTTCTCCCGATGCAGAGCCCCACTGCGGTACTCCCGTCATCTCCGAGCGCGATGCCGACCAGGTGGACCAGATCGTCGCCCGCTTCAAGAGCATCAGTACGCACCCCACCGCAGGGCTGCATCCCCTCCCGGGCCCGGGCCCGGGCCGCGACTGTCACCCCCGCGCACTGACACACCCGCACGCTTTCCCCCCCCCCCCCCCCCCCCCCCCCCCCCCCCCCCCCCCCCCCCCCCCTCCTCCACGCTCTCGCTCCCAGTCTGCAACAACGCCGAGCCCGGCACCGTGCGCATCTGCGAGGATGTCCACGTCCGTGCGACCAAGTTCGATCCGATCACCATCCCGGTCAACTGGCATGTCTTCTATGACAGCGCCACCGGCGGCGGCATGAATGTCACCACCGAGTATGTTGCATGGGCGGCGCCCTTCGCCCGGCCAGCTGCCCTTCTCTCTCCTCTGCCCCCCCCCCCCCCCCCCCCCGGGGGGGAGGGCGGGCGGCCCTCGCCGCCTGCTTCGGCTCGGCTCTGCTGGCACTGACCCCCTTCCCCCCCTCACCTCCGGCGCAGGATGATCGACCACCAGACCGACATCATGAACGAGGACTTTGCCGGCCTCAACCCCGGCGGCCCGGGCGGCTACCACAGCACCTCCTTCCGCTTTGAGGTTGCCAACGTCAACTTCGTGGACCACTCCAAGTACGTGCGCGCCCCCGCCGGTGCCTGCGTGCCAGGCCTTCCCACTTACGCGCCAATGTCCTCCCTCTGTCCCTCCCTCCCCCCCCTCCATCTGCCTCGGTGCGCTGGCGCAGCTGGTTCCACAACATGATTGCCCGTGAGAAGATCTACAAGAAGCAGCTGGCCAACAGCACCGACACCCACCTGAACATGTATGTCGGCGAGATGCGCGGCGGTGTCCTCGGCATGTGCTGTGCGTTCCTGTCCTCCGCCCCTGCCCCGCCTGCGCCCTGGTGGGAGGGTGCCCTCGCGGCGCGGTCGCCTTGCTTCCCCCCCCCCCTCCCCACCATGTATGCTCACACACACACCGGTGTCACTTCCGCCCCCCCCCCTCTATGTACAACCCACACGCACGCACGCACACACACACACACACAGACTTCGCTTTCATGTACCCGGCCGACAGCCACATGCACGGCTGCCTGATCCACCACTCCTCCATGGTTGGCGGCGGCCAGACCAACTACGACAACGGCCAGACTTGCACCCACGAGGTGGGCCACCACATCGGGCTCTACCATGTCTGGCAGGCCAAGTGCTCGGAGCGCAGCGACCGCGTCGAGGATACCCCCCCGCAGAAGACCAACTCCCGTGGCTGCCCTTCCCCGGTGCCGGAGTCCTGCACCCCGGGCCTGTATGGTACGGCCCCCGCGCGGGATGCTCCCCCCCCCCGGCCCCCCTTTGTTCGGCCCACTGCCCCACAGCTGCCCCTGGGAAATGCCTAACCTCCGGCCATCCATGGCACACACACACACACACACACGGATGTCCCCCCCCCCCCTTCCCGGCCCTGTCCGCTCAGACAACATCCACAACTTCATGGACTACTCGGATGACATCTGCCGCTGGGAGTTCAGTGCCGGGCAGTCGCAGCGCGCCGATGAGATCATCACGGTCTTCCACCCGGGGTACCTGTCGCATGCCGAACGGTCGGCCATCCGTGTGGCGGCCGATCGTGCCGGGCTGGCCGACGCCTGGGCCGAGGCCGGGCGCTTCCAGAGCCGCTTCGCCGCCCGCGAGGCCGAGTGGACCCAGTTCCTGTGAAGGGCCGGCATGCCTGTGGGCGTGTATGCCTGAAAAGGGGGGTCGAAGGGCTTCGCAGGCATTCCCTCTCCGTCTGCGAGAGTGTCCATGCGTATGACCAAGCACAGAGTCCCCCCCCCCCCCCCACCGCACATGCAGGCCGCAGTGCAGGTGCAACAGCCCCCTTCCCTCCTCCCGCGCAGGGATGGACAAGGGGGCGGGGGGGATGCCCGCCCGCGTGAATGCACCCCTCTTGTGTTGCTGTCGCTGTTTGTTGTTGTGGCTGTTGTTGTTGTGGCTGTTGTTGTTTTTTCCCCGCCTGCCGGGCCATCACGGTGTCTCTTGCGGGCGCCCCGGGGCGGGGGTGTTGACTTGTGATCTGGCGCGGCCGAGGGCGGCGCGGGGTTGTGCGAGCGTACTTTCCCCGGGCCTGGCTGGGTGGGCCCCGGGAACGGGGCGGCCGAAAAAAGGGCAACACGGCAAAAGATAGTCCAACCAGCCGGAATCGAACCAGCGACCCTCAGATAATTGCTTGTTACCGCTACAGTCTGATGCTCTACCAATTGAGCTATGGTTGGTTACGATGAGGGGGTCAGCACAAACTGATATCCCCCGGGCCTGGCAGCACAAGGGAACCCACCCCCCCCCTCCCGCAACGGCACTTCTGGCAGCAGGAACCGGGACGAGAGAGGGAGCGAGAGAGAGAGAGAGAGAGAGAGAGGGCCGGTGGCCGCCCGAAGTCAGGCGCCGGGGGCGGGGAAGAAGAAGGCAAAAGCAAAAGCAAAAAAAAAAAGACCCAGCTCCGCGTGTATTGCCGCCAGTGGAAGCTCGAAAGACACAGGGCAGGCGACAAAGGGGGGAAGGGAGAGAGAGAGAGAGAGAGAGGAAGGGAGGACGAAAAGACGGGCCATGGTGAAGGGCGAGGGGACGGCGGCCGGCGATGGCGGCGGCCCCCCTCCCCGCAGCACACACACACACACACACACACACCGGCGCCTCTCGGGCGGGCCCCGCTCATTCGCGCTCCGGCGCCAGGCACTCCTCCAGGGTCCCGAGCCAGGAGTCCATCTTCAGGTCCCGGAGGGAGGAATTGTCCGGGCTCGGCGGCCGGGCGCCGTCCGGCTGCACCGGAATCACGAGGCTGGTGGCGACGTGGCGCTCGGGCGGCGCCAGCCCGCGGGTGTCGTACACCGAAGGCCGGCCCTCCGGGTCCGGGGTGGCCACTTGCCCCCCGGCGGCGGTGGCGCCGGCGGCCTCCTGCCCGGCCTGCAGGCACACCGGCGGGCAGGCATCCGTCGGGCAGTCATACTTCTCGGCCAGGCCGGCCGACCGGGGCTTCATCAGCCCGGTGCACGGGAGGGCCGGCAGGGTCAGATCCCCGGATTCGGATACCATGCCGCACTTGGAGCAGTAGATGGCTCGCGGGTTGGTGGGGGACGCCTCGCAGCGGAAGAGGAACCCATCGCACAGGCCGTGCCAGAAGCGCAGCCGGAACTCGTCCTGATCAATCGGCAGCGGCTACGTTGGCCCCGTGTAGCGGGAGGGGGAGGGACGGGAAGGGGTCAGTATTGGCGTGGGCAACGTCACAGAGGTAACCCCGCAGCCGGAGAGGGCAAGGAGGCAGGGAGAGGGCAAGGAGGCAGGGAGAGGGCAAGGAGGTAGGGAGAGAGAGAGAGAGAGGCAGAGAGCCGAGCACGCACACCGAGCTTGCACCGGGGGCAGCCGCACTGGAAGCAATAGTACTCGGAGAGGTACTTCTGCCGGTTCTCGAAGGCATCGGAGATCAAGATGTACGAGATGTTCACCTCCTCGCCCTCCTCGATGGTGCGCAGCGCGCGGAAGAAGACGTCGCTGGGTTCGTGTGTGCGCGCGTGTGTGTGTGTGTGT